TGACGTCACCGACATCTCTTTTATAGTCTGCCCGCACTTCTTCTAGTTCCCCTTGGTCTCCATAGTATGACTTTTGGGGCCGTCGATTTGGATCCAGGCGTGTCACATGCCCGATCCATTGCCACTTCAGACTTGTCACTTTTCTTAAAAGTTCAACAGCTATTTTTGAAACCAACTTTTACTAGTGAATGCTAACATTCCCTAAACGATAGCAGTGAGTTTGGAAGATTCAGTTGCATTGCCACGACATGTTGTGAAGTATAAAAATAAATAAGGATAATTTGAATAATAGGCAATATATGAATAAGATTAAATTGGGCTCAACGCTGGCAACGTTGACATACGCCTAAATTCGCTTTGTTTTTTGTGGTTATGTTTATATTTTATGTATAATTATGATATAATTATTTTATTATCGTTGTAAAAAGTGCTGTGTCGTATTTTCCCTATGGAAGAAATTTTCCTCGACATTTTCTGTCCAAAAATTAAGGTAAACTAGGCACTCTGTAATCTGTCTACGCAAGAATGTAATAGTGCTTGTTTTTCATATTGTAATATAATGAAGTCACAGCAAAAGTTAGGCATGCAAGAGAAACATATATTAAGGAACCTAGTGACTAAAACATATTAAACGTTTTCATACGCTTGAAGTAGCGAGTTTGAAAAAACGAATAACTCCCGTTGAAGAAAATTTGGGCATACTTTATTTTGTCCACCATGAAGAACTTTATTAAACAAACCTTGTACCAATAAGTAATCTTATGTTTATGGTTTTTTTTTATTTGTTTTGTACGCTTTAAAATGTTTACTATGTTTTCCCTTTTAATATTTAGAAGGTTTTTGTTATTTTTTTTATTCGTTATTTTCTATAATTTTTAATAAATATAGTAAAGAAGTAAATTGTAATTTTAAGATCTGTAGATCACCTTGAATGTTGAGGTGATTCAATATTCTTAAAAGTTTTATCACAGTATTAAAACTAAAAGAATTTCGGACTTCTTTCTTTCGGCGGAAAAAATAATGACAATGGAAGCCCGAAGTCCGGCTTTTAGTTTCAACCCCCAGCTGTAATACCATTAGTTAAAAATAAAAAAATCACCCTTGATGAAATTATGAGAAAATAAATGACGTCCCTTTACTTACCTAGATAACTGAAAATTCTGAAAACTGGTATACTTATCTAAAATTATAAAAGAAACATTGTTTTTAAATACAAGCAGAAACCGTACTTTTAGTCATTTATTTATCAAATTTTAATTAGGGGGCAAAAGGGAATTTTTAATTCAATTCAAAGCAAACAATGTCTCCGATGTAAAAGAAATCGCATATGATGCTTTCAATTTTGTCTGTGCTATAATTAATTGTTAATTATTTGTTAATATCAATTAATAGTACATAGGGATTACCTAGGGATTACCTACTATCGTTGATTGAAGAAATTGGGTTTGGTTTGGTTTGTTCAAAAATGTGGACTTATTACTTATAAAAATACAGAATGTGGATAAGGTAGGAGTTGGGAACATTGCATTTTCTTGAAGCACTATCAATAAATTTCCGAAAACTGAATCAGAGGCACTCAAAAGTTTTTCAATATTTTTAGTGAAATATCGAGGATATTGAGATGTTGAGTAGAATGCGAAGAAAAATATAAAATATATTTTTTCAATCAACGCTACTATAAATATTCTAATTCATATTACATAGGGATTACCTATTTTAACGTACTCTTTTAATTGATATACCTGCCTAATGAAATTTTACACAGATGGTTGGCGAACGTTAACTATAAAATAAATTACATAAGAAATACAATCCTTTTCTTCCGCGAGTATTTCTGTGGCAATTATAAAACACGGTTGTTGGGAATGGCGAAAAATAATAGTAATACGGCCAAACATCGCTTCTTGTAATTAACGTAGTCATTATGCTAATTTACACCTAGTTTATATTTAATTACATAATCCCGATTTTAGTCAACATTTTTTTTTCATAATTTTAGCAAATTTTGATGATTTTCAATTTAATTTAAGTCAGAACCTCGGATGTTGTAAGAGCCAAATAGCACCAATTTAACGCATTACACCATAATATTTTACTTCAAACTTTGGAAAATATCTTTCTACTAGCGTGTACCAGCTACTTCGTTCGCGTCGAATTAATCATTTGTAATGGTGATAATAAAGCAAAGCAAGAATTGCCATTAACATACAAACTGGATAAAATTTTATTATATAACTTGTTAATATTTGATGGGTAGTTTCATCTCGTTGGAATTTGACTTTCGAAAAATCCGTTTGCCAAAAATAAGCTTTTTATGTCAAGCAGTTTAAGCAGAATCGTGATTAAGAAATTATCCAACTTTTGGGAACACCCTGTATAATTTTTTAAAAAATTTCAAAATATGTAAAAAAACCAAATAAATTATACTTGTTCAAGCGTTTTCCCGGAAGACTAACCGTTTTTTAAATAACAAATATTGTAATATTTGAGGGGCTTCACCCTCTTGGAATTTGAGATTCGAGAAATCCCTCCTTATCGAATCTCTACACCCCACAGTCAATCCGTTTGCCAAGAATCAGCTTTAAACGTCAAGCAGTTTAAGCAGAATTGTGATTACTCAATGGTCATATTTTATGAAACACCCTGTATAAATTTATAAAAAATCTTAAAATATGTGAAACAACAAAATAAAATATACGTGTTTAAGAGTTTTTCCGAAAAACTGACCGGTTTTTATATAAAAGAAATAATGTTTGAGGGATTAGTTTCACCCCCCTAGAATTCGAGTTTCGAAAAATCCCTTCTTATCGAACCTCTACACCCTAAAGTCAATCTGTTTTCCAAAAATCAGCTTTTTACGTCAAGCGCTTTCAGCAGGATCGTGATTAATCAATGACCAGATTTTTCGAAACACCCTGAATACATTTTTAAAAAATCTTAAAATATGTAACAAAACAAAATAAAATATACGTGTTTAAGTGTTTTTTCGGAAACCGTTTTTTAAATAAAAAATATTGTAATATTTGAGGGGCGGTTTCACCCTCTTGGAACTGGAATTTCGAAAAATCCCTTCTTATCTACACCCTAGAATCAACCTGTATGCCAAAATTGAGTTTCTTACGTTGAGTGGTTTGAGCAGGATCGTGATTAATCAGTGAGTTAGTCACTTAAGGATTTTATATATTAGTATAGATAATAATGTTAAAATATATTTGTTTTAAAAATTGAGTATGTATATGTTCATTGAATATATAGGTAGAATGTAGAATGTTTAGGGGGGGTTAATCACCGTGGCCTTAAGATGCGTATACATATGGCGAGTACAACGCGAGCCGAGCACATGTGTTCTCCTGTGTGTCCTTCCTATGTGTACTCCACGTGTGATCGTCGCGATCCACTTCTTGTCGGTTTTTGCAACGAACACAAAGGAGCTCGCAGTTATAATTTGGACGGCGTTGTGGCAGGTTCGTCGTTCTGGTCTGATCGGCGAGCATGGACATACATGGGCGGAGGATATTTTGCTTCAATTAGTTGGGTTGTATAGGACGCATACTATTTTGTGGGATCCCAAAGACGAAAACTATTTTGAAAACCCCAAAAAAATATAAAAAAAATATAGATGCCTGGAAGGAAACTGCCACTTTAATAGACAAACCTGAAGAAATATGCAAGAAAAAAGAAATTATAAGTATGTAACTTATAGAAGAGAGAGGAAAAAGGAAAAAGAGTCAGTAGGAACAGGAAAAGGTGAGCTTTGCAAAAGAAGTATGTAAGAACATCTGAACCAAGTCACGTCAAAAACTGCACTGACGCTAAAAAAGAATATTTCTTGTGTGCTCGCGAGCCATTTACATTTCATATGGATCGTTGTTGGCTCGGACTATGATCTCGTTGTTCTTGCTGCTCGCGGCGAACAACGAGCACAACACGGCGCCCTCGGCTCGTGCTCTTCTCTTCTTGAGTTATAACGAGTTACAAGTCATTATACAGTCTCAGGGCTTTAACCAAAGCCAGTATCTCAGGCGGTTCCATAGAGGCCAGTTTTCCATCTCCGATATCCGCCGTAACAAAGTTTATGGCACGAACGGTAGTCGTCTCGGCGCACTCAGTGATAAGGTGTTCTGGTGTTTCCCCATTTTCCCTACAGAATCAGCATTCGCCGTTGGTTCTCAACTTCAATTTACTGAGGTGTTCATTGAGGAGACAGTGTCCTGTTAGAAACCCCTTGTGAATCTGAAGATTGTTCTTACTAAATCAAGGAAGATCTTTTGCGTTGTTCTCAAAAACTTTTCGAGTGTTTTAGTTCGTTGGAAAATTCCCATTCTAAGTTAGGGATTAAGTCTTCCAGGTTCTTGAGTTCTACTTTTCTAGCTAGTTTGTTTGCTTTTTCATTGCCTTCTATCCCTTGGTGAGCGTGCAACCAGAGGAGAAGGACTTTATTTCCTTTTTCTGATTTGTTTAGCTTCTCTAGGCATTTTTTTGACCAACTTTGAATTGATGATTACTGAGTTGAGCTTTTAGTGCTGCTTGACTATCGGATAAGATAGCTATTTCCTGTTTTCGATAGTTCCTATCTGAGGTAAATTGCATGCATCTTTCAATAGCGTAGAGATTATGTGATTATGTCAGAAAATACTGTTTCATAGAAAGATACACAGGGTATAAAAAATGCTTATTAAATTTTAAGGAAATGTCAGACTTAGCAGCTTCAACTCCGCAGCTTTTGTGATATGTCTGGTAAAGTGTCGTGTGATTACACACAGGCCAAAAGTAGCATGCTGCAAGCTGCTTTTTACTGTAGCTACCTACCTATTAAAACTGCTAGAACTGTTTACAAAAAATAACTATGATATTTTGTAGATTTTCTTGCAGTGCAGTGGCGAAATACCCATAAAGTTTTTTTTTGGAGAGATCTTCAGACTATTGCCATTTATGTTGGTGTGATGGATTTGTAATTAATTGTTATTTATTTGGTTCTTATTTTTATCTGTTTGTTTCAGATCTTTCAAACTGTCAGCTGATGCAAGTTCCAGATGCCGTTTATCACTTAATGAGACACACCGAACTCAAAACCTGCGATCTCAGTGACAATGTCATCACAAAAATTCCACCAAAGTTTGCTGTGAAATTTAATCTCATTACAGGTAAATATTTAATTTGACTTTGAACTTATTGGCTTTTGAAAGTTAAGTGTTAGGGTTATACTGCCATTACTCGCTGACGAGTATTTGACACGTATCAAAAGATGGTCACGCAAGGCGTTAGCTTTTCTAACTGCTCTCGCAGTTAGCTTTTTCAAGGACCGATACGTTTGGGACACGATGGAACCTCCGGATTCTTAAGAGTTGTCTAAGGTGTCTCTGTTCAAACTTGTTTAATGCGTTCATGTGTCGGCGGTACGACACTCAGGTTTCGCTCCCATATAACATGGTGGGGATTATAATTGCTTGGTACACTGCAAATTTGGTTTTTCTACTCAAGTTATAATTGTAGAAAACCCTGCATTTAATTTCCAGAATGCTCCTGAAGCGCTGCTAATCCTGTGCTGAATTTCAGAGTCGATATTGGCCTTTCCCGAAATCAAACTGCCCAGGTAATTAAATTCCGCTACATATTCCAATAGCTCGTCTCCGATTTTTATAGCATTGGTCACATCGATATTTAGCTTAAGGCCTAAAGTCTCGTATGCCCAGGTATATGTGTTCAACATTTCTTGTAACTGTTGAAACGTGTTTGCAACTAAAGCGCAGTCATCAGCGTATTGAAGTTCTGTTATGAATTTTGTACGTATTTTTGCCCTGAGTCTTTTTATGTTGAACAGAAATTTGTTGGGTACTCGGAACTTTTTCATAATTGCCCAAAGTGCATCTCTGTTCACAGAGTCGAAGGCTTTTGTTAGATCGATGAATGCAACATAAAATTTAGACTGCTGCTCTTTTATTTTTTCCTGTAGTTGGCGGATGGAATATATGGAATCGACGATGCCACGGTTGGTGCGAAAACCCGTTTGCGATTCAGGAATGATTTTTTCTATACGTGGGTGCAGGCTTTCTCAAAAATATATACTTTATATAAATAGACAAAAATAACATTACAATAATTACTTTGAATGTGTTAGACAATGATCAGTACTGAAACTAAAAGAATTTCGCACTTCCATTGTCTTTTTCGGTCAGAAATAACACTAATCGGTATCATCGGTACCACACTCGTAAGGTACCTTGTTTTGATGATTCCAGTGTTGTTTTTGTTAGGGCATTTCTTAGGATAGTCCCAGTTTTAAAAACGGCTTTAATTTTATACTGCTTGGGTATTCACTTGATCTTCTCCGATGTTCCTTTCACATATTATGGAATCGTCAAGAGAGAGAAGATATCCTTCTTAGGCTGGCGCAACCATTGGGTCAGACTTGCAATTGAATATAATCTTGCCGATGAACTTTGCAGAGTACAGTGAAGTGGAGTGACTTTGCCCAATTCTGAATTTTACATCGTGTTTATTTCAAAAATTGTTGTATTTTCTCAAATGCGCATGGCCTATTCTATAAGTGGTAATAAGGACAACACAACAATAATACGCTTTTTTGTTTATTAAACAAATATATATATAAAAAAAGTAAAAAACTGGATGGGCAAAGTTAGTTGCTTATATGGGGTGTCTTTGCCCTCTTCCTTATTCTTATTGATAGACC